TCCACAATATGAAAGCATATGAGTGGACTCACAGTGCACCAGATGTTATGTCCATTGACACAGAAGTCGGGTAGGTTGGCAAATTCGTTATCATATGGCTTCCAGATCATCTGAAATTGTAATAAAAAAATCGTGTAATCAATTATAAATCAATATATATTTTTACATTATAACATTTAAAAAACGTACCGAGCCTAGTGGCAAGAGGTCCAACATGTATCTATACTGGATCAACACATGTGTAGATACTTCTGTAACACRAAATTGATCTCTCCATCTACAATAATATTATAGGTTAGTACAACAATTGAATGCGTAAAAAAATTTTAAGAGAAAAATAGGACAATATTTATATCGACGTACCGGGCAGCTAATGGTCGACCCACGAGATCGTCATCTGAGATGTGACGATGTTGTGGAGCCATAGTGCGGAATCGATCCCAAGCCCATACTTGTAGAAGTATAATTGGACCAGCAATGTCACGAGAGTCAGAGCGACACGCTTTGCACAGATTTCGATACAACCACGCCAAACATGCTCCACCCCAACTGAAACGTCCAGCTACCTCGAAATCGGCTAATAGAGGRAGAAACATTAAATGCACCAAGTTGTTAGACTTATCGGCGAATAGACTAYCACCGATAAGCTGCATAATATAGGCACGAGCGTATCTGRCAATGGTTTCCTCATCAGCATCGTCGGCTAGATTACGAAATTGGGAAGCTAGCCAAGGTAGACTCAGCCTAGAGCCTCTAATGTGCGCAGCACCTGGAGTCACCCCAAGTAATGCTTGACAGGTGYCTCTCCAATCATAATCAACGCGACCAGTAACAGGCTCGCCATCTACTGGTAACCCAAGCTGCACCGCTACATCTTGTAGAGTGATAGTACACTCTCCATCAGGCATGTGGAATGTATGAGTCTCTGGCCTCCACCGTTCCACAAGCGCAGTAATGAAATGCCAATCTAATTGGATRAATCCCAATCTGGCGAATCCGTAAAATCCAGAAGCRCGTAA